CGCTTCCCTCTGGGCGGGCGGCGGCCGTGCGAGGCCGGCCTGTCTGGGCGGCGATAGGAGCGAGGGCAGGTGGGCGAGCCCGGAGGGGGCAGGGGCGCTTCCGTGCCGGTGGGGTGCTTGAAATCCCAAATTCAGCTTTTCTGGAGAACCGCCGGTGTTTGCAGCCGCCTTTCCGAGCCTCAGCGCGCTGCCCCGGGAGCGGCGGGGGGAGGGCGGGGGGGGGGGCCGGGCCCGCCCCCCCAAAAAGGCGGGGAGTCAGTGGCCGAGGGACTAGCCAGGAGCAGAGGCAAGGCCGGGCAGCCTGAGCCGTAGCGTGACAAGTGACAAAAGTCAGCCTAAGCTGTTAAAAACAAAGGCGATTGTATACATCCTCTTCGTAAATTAGCAAGATAAAGTGCAAAAGGCCAGAACGCCAGCCTTGGCTTTCCAACTTAATAATATTAAGAACATACAGAGATTTCTGAGGGGAATGAAGCTGCTGTTCCCGCAGGCGCTCACTTGGGCAGTCGGGCAGCGTGCACTTCGACGGGATTTGCCCTTACCTGACTAGTGCTTCCATGCTGTAGCTCCTGCACATGGATAGGGCAGGAGTGAGCAGAAAGAAGGGGAGTCAGGAAAGAGAACTGAGACTTAAGACACTTGACAGAGACTTAAAAGGGGAAAAAAACCCAACCAAAACCCAACCAACAACAAACCAGTGCATTACGTACACTTGCAGAATGTTCATTGAGTTCCCTCTCTGCTCCTGGCAACAGGAAGAAAAGCAGTGGTAAGCGTGTGCTGAGGGGTGCTGAGGCACGGAAAGGATGCTGCAGGGTAGCTGGAGGTGCTTACTGCATTGACTGTGTAACTATCAGGAACAGCCATGGTTGAGAAAAGTCTTAAAAGGAGACCTGTTTGGTCAGCAGTGGTGGTCAGATGGCACCTCTGTAGGCACTGCGCAGGAGCAAGGGGACAGGGCACTGTGGAGAGGTTCATTAGCTCCATCAGCCAGAGCCCCGCAGCTGGAGTTCCCTGAAAGCTGCACAGGCCCAGAACAGGGACCAGATCACCCTCCCCTAAACCCTGAACGAGTTTCCTGCCTCGGGGCACTACTTTTACAGAGAAGACTGCCATAAACTTAGGGGACAGGTTTGCAGAGCAAGTGGTGCCAGGTGTTCTCAGCATGTTATCTATGACTAAGCTTAAAACCTCCTTACAGATGTCCCCGAGTTGGCTTTGCAGCCTCAGGTTGGTGCACAGAATTTTACTGTGCGCTCTGGGAAGGGGTTGCAGCTTTCATCCAGCTGTGGGCTACCATGGCTGAACAGGTAGCAGTGCACAAGAGACCAAGTACCAAAAGGATACTAAGACACCCACTGTGCAAACACTTTTTTCAGCTAGTTTAATGATTACAACTATTCACTGAACTAAAATAATATATTGCTGTGGGTGCAAAATTTTACAACAATATGGATGTGCTTTTAAGTGGCAAAGTCAGAAAAGACTCCTCACCCCCCAGGAATATGTAAAATAAATCTTAACATATATTAGTGTGCAAAAATAAAAACAAAGGAAGACTCCAAGCAGGTCAGTGACAGTGGAAAATGTGTTTTTATAGGTAATTTAATTACTGAAGCCAAACTCAGCTACATGCTTTTGCTCATAGCATTCCTGTGGGAGAGCTTCAGCAGACTTGAGGGCAAGCATTGACTCCACAGACTCACATCAGGGTTTTCTCTGCTAAAAATCGTATCTGATAGAACTGTGGAAGGTAAAATATGTGGAAGACAAAAAAATGTAAGGGCTAGGTCAGCATTTTCTCCAAGAGGTTAGTTACATACTGCAGCTCATGTAATCTGAAGAATTGTAACACAGCCCAGTATAATGACACATTTATCTAAAAGACAAAGTTTATCTATTTTATGTTTTGTACTTGCTGTAAATTTATTAGTTTTTTTACAGTTGAAAATATAAATACAAGAACATTAAATAAATTTACAAGAAACAGTGCAAAGGCAATTAGCCAAATAGTTAAAGTATTCACAGAAATGCATTCCAGCTACTAGCATTCCAGGATGGTTTTTTACTAACATGCAGTTAAAACCGTGTGGATAAACACAACAAATACTTTAAATTCTCACTTTAAGAAAATACTCAGAGTAGTTTTGGACATAGGTGACTAAAAGAACCCATGTGTTGCATATAGAACCACAAGAAGGTTTGAGTACTGAAGAGGCCGAATTGCTGAACTGCAACAGAGCCCCAGACAGGAGGGATTTAACAGATGCTTTTTGTTGAGAGGAGCATTTCCAGGGCTCCCTACAAAGTCCTCTGGGAAAGCAAAGCCCTTGCTCCCCTCCAGCATGAATCTGCCTCAAAATTTCCCCTTTACAGGGTCTGGCACTCTGCAGCATGACACCAGTTTGCTCTAGCTCTTGCTCCAGAAGCCTCCAACCTTTGCCCAAGAACACGAAGAAAAAAAGCAGTGGCCACAATGGCACACCTGTGTGAGGAAGAAGAGGCACAACCAGGGCTCAGGCTGATTTCTGATCAGGAAGAATCTTCGCAATGCTGTATGGGCTTCCAGCTGCTGTGCATGAAGAGTCAAAACCCAGCTTTTTCAGACAAATATCACATAGAGACATCCTGGGGCCTCAGGATTTGGCTTGCAACCAAGGGCCAAAGTACAAGCAGAAATACTTATTAGAATAGCTCAAGAGCTGCCCCTTAAAAAACAGCCACACAATAAAACAAACAATTTCTCAGCTACTAAATATAGCAGCTAGCATTTATTCTCTGTATTTTTTCTTCAAAAAATAACAATTCTCTACTTTTTTTTAATCATTGCAAATGAGAAATGGCAGTATGTTTGATCTCTGAAACCACCACTCATATTGACCCTGCTGAAATCAATGGCAAAAGCTCCCACTGACTTACTCAAGCCACTAACATAACTTAGTTGTATTTAATAACCTACTGACTACTTTATTTATCAGTCATTCATGGCACTCTACTTTGATGATACCCAGCTTCTATCCCTCTGTGGTGTACTAAGAGGTCGCTAAAGGTTCAAGACCGATAGTGTTTGTATTTACAGTTCTGTATCTAGTGAATATATTTGTTCAGTAAGTGATTTCACTTACAGAACAAATTAACTTCTGTATCATTCTATGTTAAAGTTAATTACCTCAATTAAAGAAAAATGCAAACTTCCAATAAAAGTTAAAACAAAATACCAGGTATTTTTCTATACATAGGAATATTTATATTACAAGAAATAAATATAAAAGTATCATTAAGATGCTTAAAGGCTGATATTCTGCTTATGTACATCACTATAGAATTTGCTACTACAATGTACAAAAAGTTGAAGACAGTGTAGCCAACGGTTTTAAAGGTAACATCGTTTGTACGGACAAGTCTTAACTTCCTACATTTATACAATAGTACTATGCATTATATCCAGATAAACTTAGATGCAATGAAAAAAGTCTAAACAAAACTTTCATTTAAATGTAAAAAACAACCTCAAAAAAACTTCTAATGAAGAATCAAGATGGAAATGTGCCAGCTGTAATTTGACATCCATGATACCTTGTCAAAATAGTTTTTTGTTTTGTTTTTTTTTTTAAATTGTCTTTGTCAATCCATTGCATGGCTGCCTTGGAAGTCCCAGTACCATATATTAAATAAAATCAGTTCTTGGTCTGCTCACATTATGTAAAACTGTGAAAGTAAATCTCTACTTCACACTGTAAAACAATGTGCTGTTTAAAAGGAAATCACATTTTCTCAATAAATGTTAGGCTTCCCCTCTTTGAAGTCCTTCTGAGTGAGATATGGCTTTTTTGGCTGCCTGTATCATCCTTTTCTTGAAATACAAGTTGTTTGCCTGAAAAGTCGTGGAGACACAGATCACCATTCTGTACACTGAAAGAAACACCATTCTTCTCACTGGGAAGATGGCCTGTTGAAACAAAAAAAGTGCATTCCCTATCAGAAAGGTTCAGAATCAAGTCTCCCATGCTTTTGTCAGTCACTGTAGGGAGTTCATGCACTCTCATTTTATCCCTGCAACAATTTCAAAATGTGAATTTTTCTGTACATATTCTGTATATATTTCTTTTCCTGTGTGAAATCAATAAGATACTTGAGATATATTAATATATTTATGCACAATATGATTCCATATTTTAAGCAGTGAAGGTCACAACTCTCAGAATGTAAACTTTGACTTGGAATAAATATCACTAGATAAGATACAAAATAATCTCATTCTAGTTTTGCTTTAACAAGTTAAGTTTAAAAGGTTTCTCAGGTTTGCCATGCATCTGAAACAAGAGAGTGTTTGAGAGAACAAGGATATTTTTTTTTCCTTTGTAAGGCACTCAACTTGCAGTATTTATTTCTGGAGGACAATCAGAATACGGCCTAGGTCCAGTCATGGGTCTAAGCCATATTTAGACTGAGAATCTTACACATTTTCCTGGTTTTTAGCTGAAGCAGAGCTGGGTTTCTTTTTCAGTAGTTAGAGTAGTGCTGCGAAGAAACCCAGCTCTGTTTCAGCTAAAAACCAGGACACACACTGAGGTGAATCTACAATGAACATGTATAATACCACTGCTGATTGCAGCCTGTGAACGAAATGTTCCACAAATGCTCAGTTCACTAGATAGACTCTTCTACCTCTCTGCATCATGTTCTAGAGATAATTTTGGTGACAATGAGGATTTTTTAGTCTATTTGTGCAAATGCTGCTGGTTGGATTTTTTTTTTCTTTGCAAAGAAGTCAAGTTTAAAAGATCTGCAAGGACCCTGATATTGTATGTATCGAACCAGTAGGAGTAGATTATAAGGAATACCCTGATGGGGAAACCAAAACCAGAACTAGTATTTCTTTTGGGAGGGGACCATTTTGTTAAACACTGAGAAATGAGTTCACAAACACAGATGCAGAGCTGTCATTTATCATTTATACCAGAAACAGAACTAATAAAGCCCATAAAAACATCAAAGTTTGCTATTTGTGTTAATATTCACACTTCATGTACAAACATAATCATGATTCAGTACATTTCAGTAAATCCACTGAAAGACACGACAGTGAAGGTAGAAACTGCGGTTTATGGTTTTAGGAGGAGAAAACACTGCTCAGAAACCTCTAGGCAGTGAAACATGACTCTGTTACAGATATCAAAAATCTGATCCTTTCTGGTACGCCTGGATTCAGTCCATCAAATACCTCCAATATCCTGGAGCAGAATCCCGCTTTGCGTCTGTCCTTCCCCCTTTCACTCTCCCACTGCCTCAAGCTTCTGAACCCTTCCAGAAGGGGCAGGGCCACATTGCAGGATGCCCTTCAACTATTTCCTGTTGGGGTCACCAGAGGGAGAAGTATTTGGTGACATCCCTCCCCTGCACTCAGTCCCTCACACAGAAAGGATTCTGTTACTTGAGTGACTGGGCTGGACTGCTCTTCTCTATTCTCCTTGGGCCAGGGCCCCCAAGCACACAGGTTTAGTATTGGTCTAGCCAAACACCTCCTCTAGAAACAAATCCTTCACTTTAAGCAGACTGCCCGTTATCCTACCAATTCAAGCAGATGTCAGCATATCCATTGCATCAAAGTCTCACTGACAAACTTTTCTTTGGAATGAGAGATTGCATTTTTTAAACAAGATGTGAACATGTGTTTCTAGCCAATAAAGGTTACTACCAGTTTGAATATGTAATGCATCTAACTTAAATTAAACATCTCAGGATGGGAGTTTAAAGGAGTGGGTTTGTGGTGATGGCTGTCAAACAAAGATTACAAATACCATGCCGAACTGCTGAGCTAACACTGGACACACAAAACAGAAGCAGTGGTCCAACAGATTATGCAAAATCTCTTAAATATAAAAATAAATATGAATTTAATTATTAATTTAAAAGGCCAAACACTTAAATAGGCACAAATGTAAGCAGTGCAAGATAAGTGGAAGAGCTTTGTTAATTCAAATCGGATAAAGACTGAAATGACAGAAGATAACAGTATTTGCTGATACTGTAATTGTGCATATATAATTGCTTAACCCCCTGCCTGACTACAACTGCTTTATTTTAGAAGAAGTGTTCAAAATAGCTGTGCCCTAATGTTAGGGCAAAATCTGAGAAGAAAATAAGGCTATTATGTGAACAAATTCAGAAAGGTGGCTTCTCTTCCTCAGTGAGGAAATCTGCAGGTTCAGCCATGTGATACCTAATGGTAACTTCCCAGACATCCAAACCTGCAAGAGAAAAACCAAAACCAAGGAAATACTAGAATGCCATTAAAAGATTCACAGAATCACAGAATCGCCTAGATTGGAAAAGACCTTTAAGGTCATCGAGTCCAATTATTAACCTCACACTGACAAGTCCCCAACTAAACCATGTCCCTAAGCACTATGTCTACACGACTCTTTAAATAGTTACACAGTCCCGTAGGCAAGCAAAGCCACAGGCTGTACAGACATCCCAAACTTACCACAGCAAGTCATTCAATCCTGCATCTGGAACAGCATTTCAGGGGAAGTAGTGAGGCCAAAACCATTAAGTGTTTACAGCTCAGTACATTTATGGCACAGGTCTTAATTTCTAGAATGTTTTCTTTTTGGAGCTCACTTTTTAAAATGAAGCACTGCAATGTTATTTTGAAGTTCTAGCTGTGAGAGCAGGGAAATTAGGCACAGCAAATTAGAAGGTCCTATGTTCCTAACATCAGTCAACTACCTTTTGGAGACATTTTCCCAGCTCTTCTGAGATACAACTGCCCCATGTTTGGAAGACTAAGTGTAAGGAATTGCCTCAAAGAGCTTTGCTGGGAGGACCAACTATATCCAAGCCTAAGTTTAGCCTCTTCTTGTGGAAGTCCTTAAGACCATGAAGAATTATTTAGTCAAAGAAACTGTGCAGACAAAGTATCATACAACCCTTTTGATAAGAATGGAGGATGCAGCACAGGGTTCACAGCATTCAAAACATCCAATAAAATAAAAGAGGAGATGAGGTGGGTCACCTGAGACATCTGTGTTCATGAGCGTATAGGAACAAAGTTCTACCAAAGTTCTTTCAGCTGCTTTGTCTGAGAAGCTGTTGGCACAGGACAAAGAGAGTCTCTCTCTCACACTGGAAAGATCTAATTATGTGAATAAACTAGGACAGAACTGGAGCACATCCCACAGAATTGGCATCACTCAATGGTTTAGATCATCAGTTTTGCATCTCATTCTAAAATACTACCCAAATCAACAAAAACTTGTTCCAGAAAGCCACAACAGGACCATTCACTCAGTTGCTACAACAAACAAGTTCAATAAAACATTTCTGCTATTTTTCTTTCTGTTGAGAAAAGCAGCCAAAGTACTTTTGTAGCTGTGTACAAGCATGTCAAATGTTGCAAGGATAGGTGGCATCTTTCATCAGAGCAACTAACATAGCTAGAAAAAAACCCCTACCTAGCTAGAAAAAGCCCCTCCATGCAGGCTTTTGTGCCTGAAAATTTCTCTCGCTTTGGAAGGTATTACTTCTACCTAAAAATATTGCTTTGCTTTGTATATGATGACAGGGAGAGTTACTGGATTCTAGTTCTCAACTGACCTGTTAGATACAAAGTACGTTAATTATTGCATTGTGTGGTATCCAAACAAAGAGGTTTTATAAAGGAAAGACAAAACAAAAGGAACTAATTTTACAAGCTCAATTTGGAAAGCTGTTCAGGGCATGTCCAAATGCCATTTCCTGAAGTGTTGTGGTTCTTTTACAATATGCAGCTAGTACATCCAAGTGGACAGTCACCTATTAAAGAGGCAGCACATATGAATTCCATAGCTTTTACTCTGTACATCTAAGACAACCTCCTCAGATGATTCCATTTATTATCGGCTGTCTTCTGGCAGCATATGCCAGGAAACGAGGACAACATAGCCTCTGTGAGAATGTTCTACAACTTCATACTAAACAATCTAGCTGATGGCATAAGTTCTTAGCCTAAACTCTTCATCAACTGGGAAAAATACCTCAGGCACACAGGAATAATGTCCTGTAAGTTTTGCTCAATTTAGGCCTTTATACATTACAGATTTGTAAGTTATTTTTCTCTTTGAAAAATCAACTGTCTTTACTGAGTGCTCAAATCAGCAGCATGATGTGTGTCCAGCTAGAGTGTGAAAAAATAGATTATGTCCACTGAAGAAATAACTTTTTTTTAGTAAGCACATTTGGTGGAGATTCATATGTAGTTTTCTCAGCAGACAACTAAGCCACATCAATTTGCAAGTGAAATTGATTGGAGTGCTACGTACACCTGTATTTCAACTTCTCAGGAACAGAGCAGAGGGTAACAGTTCAGAGGACAGTACTCTTAGAACAGGAAGGATAGAGAATTTTAGTTCTGAAAAATTGTTTCCTGCAACAAAGATATATTTCTGTTAGGCAAAAACATGCTTAAAAACCCCACAGGGGAAATAAAGAGCTATAGAGAAATTCAGTTTCAATACTTACTGTAGCCAACAGTGAGGCAGCCGTCACAGTAGTGCTGTCTTCACTGAGGTGATTTTGTAAGTTAGTCTCAAATTTCTCTTACTTTTCCTCTCATACACAGCTTCTATGTGAGCATTCCATTAATGTTTTTCCTCATATTACCTCCTACATGATTTCTTTCATACTTTGAAGCCATATTATTATCCTATATTTCTTTCATCTTCAGGCAATGTTTGTTTTAATAAGGTTTAAAATATGAACCACTTTAAAACATGCTTGACTTCATATATCCAGGTGACAAGAAAAGTGTTAACAGCAGCTTCTGGTAACTAATTGCTGTAATAACAAATATTACCTACTATTTGATATATAAATCAGGAGTTCCCACTGAGGAAGAAAAATGGATATTTTAAAACTTTGTCTATAGTTCACTAAAACAGATATGTGGTATTATTTGTGAAGACATCCTGAAATGTTCTGACCCTATACTTACGAATAATTTTGTCAGTACTTCACTTCACATTAGCATGAAAGAGCATAGCACTCTGTTTTAAGACAAGAAGTAAGACAGTTTGAGAAATACTATTTTGCCTGATACATACCATTTCCATTCACATGGACTGAATAATCATTATTCATTAGCAGTGTTGTAGAGTTAGTGGAGTTACTGTTGGACTGTAAGGAATTGGAAGAACTGGATACTCCTTGATTTACAGTCTGCTTCTTTAAACCATTAGTAGCTGTTCTACTCCAATCTATAATAGAAACATGTTACAGAAAAAAGCACAACTCATATAAGCAATATATAAAAATATAGTTAATAATGCAACTGAATTAAAATAAAAACAAGGCTTTACCCAACTCTCCTCACAGTATTCTAGACAGAATGATATTCTCCTAAGAATTCAATGATTCTTGTTGTTTAAAATTATTTAAAACTAGTTCCTTTTTTTCTTGTCCCTTTTTTTAATACAAGCAGCCAACTGTCATAAGTTTTCCGACTGCAGACCAGATCAGAAAAATAACTAAAGTACAGTTATGAGAATTCAACTACTGAATAACATGATAATGTTAAATCATTTATAGTTTTTTTGGTTTAAGCTATGCTGCTTCTTGTTTTTGTGGAAAAAAACTACAGCTGACTCAGAAGCTGCAACAAATCTTACAGTTTCTAACTGATCAAAAGTCTTCTGCAAAGACATGCCTTTATACTGCAGTGGAAGAGGTAACTGCAGTTAACAGCTTAATGCAACAGCATGTAAGTACTGCATCAACTACCACCTTTAAAGAGTATAATTTTGGAGGTTTATTATACCTTGGATAATAAATTAGAACTGCACCTACAGCAACAAGATTTATTGACATTTTTTTTTAAAGTATCACAAAATACTAGAGACTTAACAGCGAGTATAAGTATTCAGAAATTAAAAAAAAAGAAATATTCATATTTACCAGAGTTTTCAGCCAGCCTGAATTTCCCACAACAGAGATATCTTCTCCACTGTTTACGGACATTCTCCTTTGTTACACAATAGAAGATAAAAATGAAGAACCCTGCAAAGCAATAATGTCAGAGAATGTTGTGAAATTGACTTTTACTACTTCTTAATGAACAATGTTTTGGTTTTCTTTCATTACTTTTAAATCTCAAATCAAAAGTAATGACACCTTTCTCTGATGATAAAATTTACAACTCTGAACACTGAACAGTACTTTCCCCTTACACAGATGAGAAGAATCATACACACAAATGCAAGGAAAAACAAAACAAAACAAAACAAATCCGCAAAGTGCATAAAATTTCCTGCTATCAAATAAGAAGGGAAAAATTTTGTGTATCCTGAAATGTACATATAGCTTTTGGAAAAGAATTCAAAGCAATGCCAAACAGAGGGTATGACATGACACTGTCGGGCTACGCAGCTGTTAGCACATGGTGTGTCATTATCCCCTCAACCCCTCAAGTTACCAAAGAGTAAAGTAATCAAAAATCAAGACAGCAAATAGAGGAGGGATATATACATTGAATTGCAATTTTAATTCCTTTAGTCTCTCTGGGAGATCATCCAACCAGTCAACTAAAGTGCCATTTAAGCAGAAGATTGGATCCAAATTCAGTAGGGCAATTCAGGTATACTTAGGTATCTGTAGGCACCTATGGTACCTCCTATTTATATGAAAGCTTTTGCAGCCTCTGAAACTCTGCTTTTGGGTAAGTCCAGCAGCATCCTGGCCTTTGCAAAGCTGCGTGCCTTCATATCTACTTTCTGTATGTTCTTGAGTACTAAAGGCCATGCTTAAGAGTTAGACCATTAACCTTTAGATGTTGCAACCCTGCCTGTCTGAATGGCCCTCTATTGAATGTCACACCTCACCCCTAAGGCTTAGGGGTTAAGTGGTGTCTGGTTTGCATATGTTTTTAAAATGGTAATATTTATAGATATAAATGTATAATACCTATAAATATATAAATATGCTATACCTATAAATAGTAGCTAGCTTTCCTGTACCTTACTGTAACACAACTGTAACTTAAGATGACAGTAAAGCAGTATCATCTCTAATTAACATGTTAAAGCACATACCAAAATTACATCTGTATTGCTGAATCACGAAAATGCCATTTGCAAGTTATTTTGTTCATTATATTGTACGCAATGTGCTATTAGATGAAGGATAAACTTACCTTGCAAAGTGTTGAAAATGGTAAAGAGGTAAGTAAATACCTCATTTACTGTGAAGAAAGCAAATCCCCAAGTAATTCCCAACAAGAACGTGAGGCCTGCAACACTCCTAACGTCTTGAATACTTGTTTTTCTTTGAGCTCCAAGTTGTTTTTTCTTTTTGATGCGACAGAGCTGGATCAGCACAACAATGAACATGCTGATATTGATCAGGAATATCAGGCAAAAGTATCCCACAGCAGTAATATAGAAGACAGTTCTATTTTTAATCCAGCAGCTAGAACACAAGAACAGTCTGTCAACCATTATCAGAAACAGAAATTAGGTAAAGTAAACGTGAGATAAAGGTGTAGTTTGTTGCACATGCAAATCATTTTTGCCTCTTTAGTAGGAAGTATTCTTTTGGCCAAAGGGTAAGAGCTTTCATAGAGGTAATAACCACAAAACACATGACATACTGTAAAGCTATACCTTTTCAAAGCTCTCCCATTGCTTCTTTCCCTTCCCCACCTTTCCTTTAAAGAAAAGCAATTTCATAGGACCTCCCTCCCACCCACGCCCCAAAAAGCACCTGCTTTTAACTCACAATTCATCAGGTCTGTTTATGGAAACCTTTCCAGTGGTTATAAGTCCATAATTATCTGGTGATACTGCCAATACAATGGACACAACTACTGCAGGTAACCCTGAAAGATTATGAGCAAACATGTAAGTGAAAATCATTACAAAGACAGTATTATGAGGACTTGAAATTATTGTATTTTTCTGTGTAATCTACAACTTGTTTCTGAAATTCGACTGTTGAGTTCTGTTGACTACTACCTGTCTGAAAGAATCTAAAAACTGGAGCATTCAAACTGTTCAGGAGCATAAGTTGCAAAGAATCAGGAGTTCTCCAAAAGCTAGCTCCAAAACTTTCTGAATAAGACAACAAATACCATTGCTCGTCAAACTGATTTAAAACATCAAATACAGGATACTCGATTTTCTTTCTTACATCTCGTTTAAGAAAACAATTCTATTGATTCTAGTGCCTTCACTCATGTTTACTCAAGTGGCCAGAGGGGATAATCAGGTCCAGAATCTCGTCATCCTTTAATGCAATTAGAACTATTTTGCTGCTTTTCATCAGCAACAGTGCTATACCAGAAATTAAATATATATATCTGGATTGGCATTTATTTTCAAAACACAACTGACACCATCCCTCCGGTAAATGGAAATGGAAGCATGCACATTCAAAATTGGTTCTGTTGTACTTGCACAAGGAAAATTCATTATCAATTTGCATTGCAGCAGCCTCAGTTCTGCAGTTAGAGGGGAGTTCCCTACTTCATAAAGGTGGAATATATAGGATCAAGTTAACTGAAAATGAATACCTGGTCACTGCAAGGTCATAACATTTAATGACTGCTTCTTTTTCCATTCTGAACTGTGTCACATTCACTGAAATACTTGATAAGATTTGATTTATCTATTTAGCATCCAAAAAAAAAAAAAAAATTATACATACCCCAACCAACAATGCAAAATTTCAGAATGTATTTCCGTACATAGGTATTAAAGACTTTCACAAGGGCCAGATACATGTGGAAAGCTTCTAGGCCCATCCAGGTGAAGGAAACCAAAAGGAAATAGTGAAGAAATACTGCAACTGCAATGCACAGGCCTCGTGTATCATACAGTGCAATCCATGAATCAAGGAGGAAAATTAAGTTGAGTAGAAGTAACGCAGCACACAGCTGAATAAGGATTTTGGAAGGGTAGTCTCTCCGGATTTTCCTAAAAAAAGCAAATTAGTGAGATTACATCAATTGTGCATGGATTCCTGGCTTATTTCCTCTCTTGTAGTCCTTAGTGCACAAATGCTATGAAAAAAATTATGTATATACTTTCATTCATACATAATGCTTCATATATTGCATTTATACATGGAGAGAGTAATTTACAAAAGATTTCCAAATTAATGGTCTGTATGAATAAAGTTGGCTATAATAAGGTTAAAAAACACAAACAATAACTGGGACTCTTGGAGTTTAGTACCATGATTATTATTTTTTACACCTTATGTTGGACTTTTCCTTGTTACAGTACTTCCAAAAACCAGAATGTGACTGTCCTTTATTGCTGAACTAGATTAGGCTTTTGAATGAGCTTCTAAAGCCTTAATAGAGACGTTAGACCTTGATGACAGGATGATGAGAGAATAAACATGCTCTGAGTAACTTAGAGCAGGATTTCCAAAACATAGTATGGAGAATTCAATAGTTAAGGCTCAAACATAAAAAGTTCCGACAAACAACAAAGAATACAAATGTGTTTAAAAATGCTATCATTCTGCACCACTCTTGTTATACTGTATCTTAAACACATTCCTTCACACTTCTATTATGATAATCCATTATAAAATATTTAAGAGTGCTACTTCTTCACTTCTTACTGCATAGAATTTCATGATTAATTCATTTGTCCACAAGATTAACACTCCTGAAGACTGAATCAACACGTTCCTTGTACACTGGACAAATTTGTGCATTATGAATGGAGACAGAATCCGTAACTATTGGAAAGGATTCTGCAGTGAAGGCTACAAGCAATCACAATTGAAAAATAATGGGAGCTTAGCTGAACAGGTACTTACTCAAAGGCTATGTAGGTCACAAGAGTAATAGAAAGAAAAATTGCAGAGAGGCCACAGCCTATATAGGATATAAAAGTCAGTACCAGTTCTTGTGTGGGATTCAAAGGAGTATTTCCATACAAGTTCTAAAACGGAAACAGAAGTTAATTTCAGAGAACATGTTTACTAAGTGGAAAAAGATCAAAAAACCCCCAAATGCACCTTTCCCTCTGCAATTAAAAAAAAAAAAAAAGAAACAGTTCTTTTCATCGTGGATCTTATAAAAGGTTAACTGAAAAACAGAAAAACCAATCTAGGCCTGCGAGGAGCAGGGAGATGACTTGATCCTTATGCATCCCTTCCAACTTGAGATATTCTATGAGTCATTGTGAAATCCCATTTGATTAAAAACTTGTTTAAAATTTGATTTTTCTTAATTTTTATTTTGTACAATATAAACAATTGCCTGAATGTAAACGTGGCAGTTTAATAAACACTTAAGGATTTTTTCACTCTGATAGAACTCATGGGCTCCCATTCAACAAGCAGCTTAAACACATGACTAATTGTATGGCTATAAGCTATGTACTAACACTGAAGTGAATAGAACGTGAGTAGTATTTCAAAGGTGGTACATGCTTACTGAATACTCACTTGCTTAAGATAACACATGCTTAAATGTGTTCTTGAATCAGGGTAAGATTGCATAATTTTTTAAATAATTACCATCAAAACTGCAAAGCTTGTGAGGTGGTTGCATGAACAGACTGTTTCATTTACTCTACTTTCTTTAACTGTGCAACCTTCGTATGACCAGCCTCCATGTCCATCTGTTAAAGAAAACAGCTTTGTTATTCATACAGCCGTTATTTATATTAACATGAGTTAACATAGCTAAAATAGCATGTTATCTTGGGTGATATCAAGTACTTACCATTTTTATTAAAGTCCCAAAAAACACATCTAACTGTTGCATTATCCTGTTTAGAAGGTTAAAAAAAAAAGTTTTACTAAACTGTGAGTTTACAATCAAGTAATTTATGAATTATCTACAAAAGGCAGGCAAGAATAAATACTGTATACAGCAAATATACCTGTTTTACATGAATGCACAAAATGGATTAATATTGTAATATGCATGTGAAAATATGCTGACCAAATTTGAAGTCACCATACAGGAATAGCTTTCACACTTTTGCTAAGATTCTGCTCTTAGTAGAACCTTAAGAATGCTCTTTCACTGTCTTCCCACACTATACAAATTAATTAGATTTCTCATCCTTCCTGATTTTCTAAGTATCAAGAAAATGGCCACACAGAAAAGAAAAAACTTTTTCATTTGGAAACATCTGATTACGTTATATTACCATGATGTTAAAGTTTTACATATAGATTTCCACCCCACATATGAAAATCCTAAAAAAAAGTAGCAGTAATACACTATACTGCAATGAATACTCATATTTCTACAGTTATATCTCAAAACTCAGTTAATAAATACAAGTAAAGACTACACTAAGCCAGCTCTTGAAAAAAGCTTCAGGTACATTAGTAGAATCACTACATTTTTTCAGTTTATAGTATTTTAGTGTTTTAAACTCTTTTAAGATATTGGATAAAAGATTTTAATCCTTGATCAGTTAGGAAAGAGATGCTGTACATGAGCCCTAATACTTCCAGATGACACAGTCCTGTGTTTCAGTTTTAGGAACAGCATTTCCCCTAAGAAAAAAGACTTCTGTTGCTCTCTGGCCATGCAGCACCTAAAAAATGTCATGACTGCAGAATCTCTGTAGCAAACCCCACTGTCAGGCTTTTGTCTAAGAGTTTTTATTCATTGAAGAATAAAACAGAAGAGTAGGTAGGAAGGATAAAAACTGTATGGATAAGTGATAGAGCAAAATTACCTGAAACCGTTTGAGAACAAAAATTTATATCTTTATAAATAAGCAAAGATTTTGAATGTCCAGATGGAGATGAAATGTCCACACTAGTTAAGCAGAACCAACCAATCTGTATTCTTAGTACAGTATTCCTTCTACAAAAACTCCAACGGAGGCAACAAAACTGTAGTTTAAGCCTGCCAAAATATAAGTCATACCTGATTAGGTTTGATATTCTGTAAAGTGACAGTAACATTCGCCTTCAAGTTGCTAATTGTGAGGTTAGCAACACTCGATGATATAACATTGCTGATTAAAGATGCATTCTTCAGGGACAGATCCTGCAACGACAGAAAAGAATCAGATTTTAAAATCTTAAAGGAATCATAGAATCATCATAGACTCATAGAATGGTTTGAATTGGAAGGGACCTTTCAAGATCATCTAGTCCAACCCCCAATAGTAGAGTACATCAGGAAACAACAGCAGAGTGCAGCACCTACAAGTTCAGTTATTATGTCAAGTGAGCACTGCACAAAAACAATTACCTTATAAATCAGGAAGTTTTGAAATGTGTTTTGTGGGAAAAATGCCCATTCATATTTTATTTTGCTCTAGGTTGAGTTTAAAACTCTTATAAATAGAGGAGCAAAAAGATACCTGGAACACAGCGGTCTTTTTAAAGAAGTTGAATATAATTCTAGAAGCCAAGTCCAACTCTTCAGGGGGTAAATTTGTCAGCAATGACGAGGGAAGTGTAATTGATCCGAGATTATTTAAATCATTAATTGCATTAACACCTAGAGAGATCTGAAAAATAAATGCAAAGATCGTGCTTCATTTCAGTCACTAAAGAAAAATTAAATTAGTACTTATTTTCAGTTTGGAACTTTGAAATACATACTCAAATGTTAACATTTCTTATCATTTTCAGTATCACAGAACAGTTCCAGTACTTATGGCTCATGCTACATTAAGCTATTTCCTTCTCTGAGCGGACAGAATGTGACAAAATTTGTCCAGAACTTTCCATTTCTCCTTGCTTAAGCCTCCAAGGCTGGTATTGTCCAAATTATCATTTCCTCAACCAGGAGGGAGGTTTTGAGTGAGAAAAAGTAGATCCAAACTTCCTAAGCACTTCTTTCTTGGCAAGACCAACTAGTCATGAGTGATGAACGTATGAATGTCTTTATCCAAGCAGCATAATAGTTCTTTCTGGGAACCCTCTGCAATTAATCTCCTTCTAACAGATGAAGCCATCTGGCAGCACTCCTTGGCAAATTTCAGCACTGTCAGGATGGGTGATTAAGTGACTCATGATTCAGGGTTTTTGAGGCAAAGTTATACCACCAAGCACTCTGTCCATTCCAGTGTTCTGGCTGTACCCTCTCTAACAGCTTATTAGTTGAATGCCAGTTTCTGCTAAGTCTCTTGCTTATTTCCACTTATTTACACAATAGAAAATGAAAGGAAAAAATAAGGAGGGCTTCAAAAACAAAGTATTTTTTCTCTGAAGCTAACAGGAACAAAAGATTCTGAAACTGTGACACAAACAGAACAAACTCATGTTACATATAAATATAAAACCATAAATATTTAAAATTAAATGTTTGAGAATTTGTAAGTATTTAGATTTATCAGTGTTTAACCTGAAGATCAGCTGCGTCCTGGACAGCAAAAGACATTTGGTTGGAGCGGATGCTATTGGTTTTGACAACTGCCAGAGCCAAAGAAGGGGAGGCAAAATCAGCAGACGTTGCTGAAAAGTTCAGTTTTAAGCCAATATAATCCACCAGTTTTATAATTCTGTTAAGAAAAAGAGAGACTTAGTATTACCAAGCACATACACCCAAAATTCTCAGGCAAGTTGTGGTTATGGAGCAGCGATCCAAGCACAGGGTAAAATACAGCTAACTCTGCTCACGTATTGTGGTGTCAACACAAAAAACCCACACTGTTTTCCGTGGCATTATATTATAGTAGAGCTGGTAACACTAGAACGGTACTCCTTCCATTTTGTATAAGTACATTAAAGAACAAGAAATATTCTTTTGGATTATGATTATGAAAAAATGAAACTTGCTGAAGCCAATTTATCAAGACAGTCAATACAACATGCCATTAATCTATTGCCTGAATGACTTACCTGTTAGAAATTCGGGGTGGTAATGGCTGAGAAGCAGTCAGGACTTTGCTAACCTCACTAACCATCCTTTCTACGTCTTCTGGCTCTACTTTTCCAGCTGCTAAATCATTTTCTATTTTGGACACGATTGTCTCGGCTGTGGTGACATTAATGGTGGTATATACAGAAGTTGTGTATGTGGTAGCTGATAGTATCTTCCCTGTGGCAAAAGAGAAGTTGTGTATTTATTTAAACATGGTGTTCAACAAATGAAGTAAGCTTTGAGAAGCAGAAAAATTAAGCACTTCTCTTGACCAACAAACCTTATCACAACTTGTAAGGTCTTTCAACATGTTATGCAAGATAGAATCCCTTTTTCTCCCTATCAGCTGTTTTGCAGATAGCAATACTTTAGATCTTATTAAAACATAAAGCAAGGTTTCAAATGACCAGCATTAATTCCACTTTTTATTGATTACAAAATTCCTCCCATCAGACCATCAGTGTTGTTAAATAATCTATAATCTATTATTTTGGATTTTTTGCCATTAGATGCCTGAAAGTACAATAAAATCAAGATAAGATCAGCAATTTGAAAAGAAGCTTGTAAAGATGCATACAATCTTCAAAAGAAAATACATAGCCACTAATAATCTTCATAACCAATAACAATTATTTTAAGGAAGATCCAACACTGATTTGCAATATTGATTTGTAAAAAAAAATAGCTAGCTGGATCTGTGACTTAATTTTTTCTGCCAAAGGTACCTGTTGGGAACTTAGCACAGGACCTATCACAGTTACCAACCAATTTGTAGGGTGAGGTATCACTCGTCATGGCCAAAGGCATCAGAATGTGTTTTAAAATAAGCATACACCTTGTGAGAGTTGTCTCACAGTAATTGGAAGGTCACAGCTCAGATATATAATCTTGTTTAATAAAATTTTAAAGCAAATTCAGTATATGGCATTCAAATTAAAAAAAACAACCAACCAAAAACTTAATAATTTTATTTGTCATATTTACCTGTGCTCCCATTAGACAGGCTACTGTGGTCATCAGCAGTAGAATGAAGATGAGAAGCTGAGACAGAATGGTTGATAGGACTAACAGTAGGGGTCAAAGTTATTGTGAAAGGAGTAAGGGGAAGAATAGGTGCTGTAGTAACATTTGTGTTACCAGAAATAGGTTGGATCGAATCTGTAGTAGGATGCATTTGTGCAACAGATTTGGTGGTAGTCTCAAAGGGAGGAATTGCTACTGGAGCTTTGTGGGGAAGCTCAGAAGAGGAAACTGCAGAATGGTTAGTGAAACCTACAGAAGGAGAAATTACTGTAATAGGCTTGCTAAGATATACAGCATCAGATTTAACTGAGAAAGTAGCATTAGTGACAGATTTTGTTGCAGGTGCTGAAATAGTGACAGATTTATTAGAAGCTATGGAAGGAAAAGTTGTTATGGAAGGTTGAGCAAGAGACTTGGAAGAGGAAAGTGTAGTGGTAACACTGGTGGACAACACAGAAGTTTCAGTACTAGATGTGGCAGAAGTTTCAGAGAGAAGATTTGTAGTGGGAGATGTGGAGAGACTTTCAGAGAAAGAAATTTCTGTGAATGGTGGGATCAGTGGTCTAATTGTGGGGCTTTGTTTGGTAGAAAGCATAGTGGGGGAAATAGAAGTATTAGATTTGGGGGAAGTCTTTTTCGGGAGAGGAGAATGAAGGGAAGGAACCCATATAGAATGAGGTGGCACTTGTATAGTACTGTAAAAAAAAAAAAAAAAGGCACAGAAATGCATGTTAAATGTAACATTGTTTATATTTTAAAGAAAACAAATTATAATAGAGGAATATCTACAAATGATATGGACATACTACTAAGAACATATATTTTTAAATCAATCATAGAATCAGTTTGGTGTTTCATGGTCTAGTAACAAATATGAATTCCATAGCATTTTAAGGGTTCTTACATTCTATTTTGTTTTAGCTGTTAACTAGCAAGCCAATAAATACTGCTGCCTTTGCTGCCTAGTCTGGAGGTAACTTGATGCTAAACACAAAAGCTATCTGCATCAGGGGAAAGAAAAGAAAAGGAAAGGGAAGAGAAGGGAAGGGAGGGGAAGAGGGAGTAATAGGGAGGGAACTATATAGGAAAATGCCTGTCAAGTCGTTCCTGTGGAGTCCTTCCTGGCTATTACACTGCAACACGGCAGTTGACTCTATTAATGCATTAGGAAATTTAGGAAATAAGCAAGTCAAATTTTGCATTTACACTTACTACATTTGTAATTCTTCAGCAGTCAAGGAACAATACTTCAGTGATGAACAGCAGCATCTTTCTGAGATGACAAAGAAGCATTAATGTAGTTTATCCCGAAGCATAAAAATTGCTAATACTGCTAAGTAGGATATTCAAATAAACAAGTTTTATGTTTTTTAAACAATAGTGCATATTGCATAACTGATTTTGAGGTTTTCTGAAATGAGATTTGCAAAACACATCTTGACCAGTTAGAATACTGCAACACACCTAGATTTTTGCTCAGTGCCTGACAAGTACAGATTTCTCTTTTTGTTATTGTAAACAAACAAAAATACAAAGGTACATCTTTTGAAACAGAGACCAATGTATAAGTCACCACTCCACACTATCACAGTATCACTAAGAAAGCTTGGCTACTTTATAAACTTCTCAATTCAGATCTCATTTCAATTCAGTAATACATTTATGTTCTCAAGTAATTTATATCTAAGCCTTTTAAAGCCTGCTTTATTAATTTATACAGCAATTTTATACCAGAGTTTTTTGAAACATATTTCTGTCTTCCCCTCTCCACCCAAAAATCAGAAGGCTGCATGTCTGATGTATTTATATTGTTCAACAGAAAATATTTTTATCTAAAAATAAGTAATAATCTTTTATCCATGTGGAGGTCAGGTGTAAAGACAGGAAATTTAATCTGAAAGGGTAACTGTGATGAGACTGTGTTTAAAGCGTAACTTACCAAGTTGGCTTATTTCTGCTTTGTCTTTTAAACTGCTTATATTCTGTCTCTCAGCCAGCTTCATTATGAAATTGCACTGTATACTATAATGAGAAGAAAAAGCTTTAGATTCAAGAAACAAATTTTCCTTGTCTTTACAACACATGAAACTAACATCAAATGCTAAATGAAAGCACATTAGCACAAATGCTAAGTGTGAAAATGCATTTTTCCTAGGCTCTTTCAGATTTGGGGATATTTTAATGCACATAAAACACTATGCCAGGCTAAACAGAAGCGTAATACATCATAATTGGCAGCTTATTTTCTCTTTTCTCTACAGGCACTGTCGATTCTTAAAGGAGGTCCTCCCTAATTAATGTTAGCCATTACAAAGTTGATAATTTTGTAAAGATAATAATGTAATCTCCACTGTTACTGTAAAGAAACTCCAGAAAGGAACTAGCAAGTGTCCTATGTGCTTATGTCAGTGTATATGAAATCTCCATCACGTGGGGAAAGCCAGTGTTCTCTCCCTTAAGTGAAGTGACCCACTTAAGCATGTAACTACACATTTACAATTACGGTTTGGTGACTTGAAACCCTGCTAAACTAGCAAACCTACAGCA